ACTTATCATTGCAAAAAATCAACATGGATTCTACATTTTTAAAAAGTTTGTTAATGTTAGACTTCAACTTTGTTGTTATATCATCGGTTTACGATAAGAATGTCTTGGATTTAATGATTACTGGGGGTATTTAGCACAGCAGACGTTTCGTCTTAATTTCCTATGGCACTACCTCGAACATCTATTATTTTCGTTAGGTCGATGAACATCGATTCTTTGYCTAATTTCCTAATTCCAAACACGCGATGATTTTCTATTGACTTCGGGACAAACAAGTATTTTGTGAGGGGAGAAGTGGTACCCCTTGTCGCGATCAGCTCAAAGTATTATGCGATATAATATGAAACCAAAGGAGATGCGATAGAAAACGTAACTATTCTACAAAACTGTTCAGACGGATTTTGCGATGTCTTTTGAACATATATAGCAATGCCAAACTTCGAATTCTTTACTCCAACCTCGTTTCCAGACTCTTATCCCTTCGCCTGGGGTCAGGCCTTCAGGGCCTGGAAAAGAGATTGTCTTTACTCTAGCTTTCATTTTTTGGGGGTAGTATACAAAATGGGCGTTACGACAGGTAAATCACGATGGCGGGATGCCACTCCACAGTGGTTCTGTATAGTAATAATTACACCTCTTCTGGTGATGTCATCGATCCCGACTGATCCACAATCTAMCACGATCACCCTTTGGTGAACACTTATTTCGTATACTATACATTTGTCTTTTCTATTTAAAAATTGCTACGATTGTTTATTAGGTAAGAAAGAAAGCACGTCGCGAGGGTTTCGCCATCGATTCTTCTTCAGTGATTCCMGCTCAAGAGATAGCGTTCAGGTTGCACGTAATTTTTACCGCATGACGTTTTGCATTCGTTTGAAACTCTCTTTACTTCTAGTTACATGCAAATTGCGGCGTTTYGATCATCAAGAATGTAAAGTCAACCATTAAATCTCGATTTGCCAAGTATCGCCACCTTCGAAATCTCTAAACTTATTTCCATACACGGGTTCTCCATTACAAGTACTAAACGAACTGCGAGGAGATTCATCAATTTCATCACTGTATGGACTTGAACCCCGGTAATCAACGGCTTCATACGTACAAGGCGAACTCATCCGACGCTCTCCTCCATTACAGTTAACGTATATACTTCCCGGGGGTTCTCCATCGTTATGATTAAAATAAAATGTGCTTCTCCTGGGTTCTCCTTCATAACAGTTGTAAGAATTCCTTCGATAGTTCCCAATATGAGGACTTCTTCTCGGCTCTATATCGTCATAATTCTGTACGGGTTCTCCACCATATGTGTGATTATTRTCCAGGTATTCTCTATCATTGTACATGTTGTGCGTACTCCCCCGGTCATCACCAGTAAATATGTTACTATTACTGCCYTTAGCAGACCCATAAATGTTGTTTGCACTACCSCCACTTTTGTTTCCTTTACGGTTAAARTACCCCCCGGAAATTTTGCTTTTAAGCATGAGATGATAAGACAGCGATTCTCGATCCAGGTCGGARTCGTCCGAAAAATTAGAATCGCATTCGTCAAAGTTGTTGAAGATTTCAGCCTCCATTTGACGCCTTTTGTCAATTTCGTGTAGCATCATTAGTTGTTCTCTTCGAGTATCGCGTTTTCTCTCGGTAAACACGCGCGTTGCTTTTTGTAACACGCGTGTAGCGTGATCATTTGGATTATCRGGAGTCAGACTAGGAGACTGATTGCTAAATGATTTCTTAAACTGWGCTTCTAAGCGTATTGCTATCTGATCGAAWGTCTGYGGGGATTCCCCTTGCTGTTCTAGAAGTCTTTTAACCAAAGCTTTYAACAAGTCAAAGCARTGTACACGATCACCAATTCGAATTGGAATATCAAGACGAGCAAGCACCTCAGAGTTGGGCTGAGGTATTCGAAACTTTTCATTAAGATTCGCCACAAGATGGGAAAGCCTGTGAGCCGATACGTACTGCTTTCCCCCTTCAACAAGAGACTCCCATTTCTCATAATAATCGTCGAGATCGTCTTTTTTGAATATACAGTCCCCAGGTTCCTGTGCTCGGTTWACGTTYTCCAAAATGACYGCTATGTACATATTTACAATGATTAGAAACACGATGATTATATAAGATACCAAATATAAAATGGCCCCAAGAGGGAATCCACAGTCGCCGTTCGGTAGATCGTCGCCGTAGTCAAAATCACAGTCGGGCGGCTGCACCATAAGAGCGTCCAGAACATCGTTCCAACCCGCCCCGGTCGCCAGGCGAAACAGCACCATCATAGAGTTTCCAAACGTCTCAAAATTGACATTATCATCAATGGCTCCCTGTTTTCTTATATGCCCAAAAGTTGACATTCCAATTATTGCAAATATAAAAATAACTAGAAATAGTAGAGTTCCGATGTTTAGCAATGCTGGAAGGGATATCACCAAGGCTACGAGAAGTTGTCGGACTCCTTTAGCAAACTCGAGCAAACGCAGAAGACGCGCAATACGGAATATTCGTATCACTCGTAATAGACTTGGATTTCCAACGCCTTTGGTCGCCGATTCGTCGAAATAAAGACCTGGAAAAGGAGTGTAGAATAGAATTAATGAAAAACTGATTACTAAACTTAGATTATTCACAGCCACTCACCTATTATAGAAAAGATTACKATGATGAAATCAAAGACGTTCCATCCCTTCTTGAAGTAGTATAACCGAAGAGCAATCAGTTTAGAGACGAGTTCTAATATAAAGACAGCCGTGAAGAAACGATTGAAGTTCTGTGTTTGCTGCGAGGGATCACAGCATTGGTCAAGGAAATTTAACTTTTTCCTAAAAGGTCTTAAATAAATAAATGAATAAATACTTCTCGTTTTCAATGTGCAATTTTTTTTCATTTGACTATAGTTATTATGACTATGATTTGACCGTGAAAGATTAGTGAGACTTACAGTTGCTATCATCTGATCGAATCTATTGTTTTCTTTTTTTTTAAAACAAAAAATGTTAACTAAATAGTTATTTTCATTGCACGGTGAAATGAAAGCGATTCAATTCCAAAGCAACCTTTGGAAGACACGGACACTTTCACCTTCACAGCAGAAAGAGCACCCACATTTGCAAAGACAGTTTATTGATGACAAAATATACGTATTAAGATATGGAACAATCATTAATTGGTTTTTGTAAAGGATATTCATAACTTCGCTGAACTGCTCCGACTGATCATAGTGCTGGAACATCATGATAATCATATTACAAATGATGACACCAAGCAAAACAATCTCGAATACTGTACTGGTCACTGCATCAAATAGACGACCTCTTAGGCAATCCTGCACGACAAATTCATAAGATTATAACGACAATGAGATCAAATATAACTTACTAATAACTGATAATAATTATTAATAGTTATTTCCATTAGACTCACCTGCGGTCTGATGGCCTGAACAGGAGCTTTTCGTTTTGCAGCCTCTTTTAGCATGTCCACCCATTTCCGTTGACTGTCAGTTAGCARCATGCCCATRCCACTTAATTCATCATACTATTGAATGGAAGGGTTTATCATTATAATCATAGCAGCCTCAATTATAATCTCGTTATGATTTTAGTGTCTGGATGTAAAAGAGAAGTGATCGTAGAGTAATTGCCCTATTTCATTATGACGTCACAGTATGTYTACATCGGAAAACGATGCTCAAAARCAGTRGAAATTTGGACSCATTTATATTGTCTACTAAAGTAGAACTTCAATGAATCGTRTTTTGATATAYATCATGTATWWATGATTGTYCATGTACATTTTATTTGAWATGCAGTCACTCTGATCCCTTATGGCGACCATAATCCTTAGCGTTAAAACAATAGAATGTTTTGATGTGACGTCATAATGAACTAGGGCAATTCCATTGCTTTTATTATGGCCAGTTACCTTTCGTTTAAGCGTATTAAAATTATCAATGATGACACCGACGAACAAATTGAGTACAAAAAATGCTCCAATGATGATAAAGATGACAAAGTAGGTGTACCCACTGAAGTTACTCTCGTCTGATGGCTGCATGTCATGCTTAAAGGAACAAGAGAGAAATTAATATTTGACTATAAATTCCTCTAAAATCGTTAACGATGGTTAATCTTTGTGGGCTTGTGAGCTCTATGAGGGAGTTGAGCTTTTCTGCAGTGGTTGGCTTTGCATGGATTACATTGACTTCGTTTTTTTGAAACTTACCCCTCTTGTGTCCACTGCGTCATCCATGACCTCCATCCAGCCTTCAAAGGTTGCCTTAAAACACAAAAACAACTAGCATATTAAATGCCACGGGACCAAAAAAGTAAAACACAATAGTGTGTACGAAATTACAAACATAAAGTCTAAGATGTTGTCTATGAAGTCGTTCGCGGGAAGACTTAAAGCGGGGAAAATACCTCGAATGAGCCACATCTCTTTAATTGCATTTTTCTGGTAGACAAAGACTTTCATAGTCCGTTCAGTGTGATAATGCMTATCAATCTAAGGGAGGACGCATATGGAGTTGAAGCACGCGCACACCCCTYCCCCCGTTAGGCTTACTGACTGACTTACCACTTGAAAAAGYGCTAAAAAACCATTGATGACATTATCAAAGTTAATTTTCGARTTCTCCCACCGATATCCATCATCTGCATGCGCGAGGCAATCAGATTTATTGTTGATTTCTAATATTGGCAAACGGTTGCCATCTTCGTCCAGACACTTGAAGAACTTGCCGGCAAATAACTGGACACCAAGGATTGAGAAAATCAACCAGAACAGTAACGATACAAGWAGCACGTTGGCGATTCCAGGAATGGCTGCGAAAAGCGCATTTACAACAACCTGTRAATAGAGAACGTTCAGTAGCATATTTCACGTTTTTTCGTTCGTGACCATGAAAGATATTTCAAACGCAGACACAAACCTTCATGCCTTCCAGTCTTGAGACAGCTCTCAATGGACGTAATGCTCGTACAGTCCTCAATGACCTAAACACTGCAAGTTCCTTATCTTCAACTATGCAAGCTACAGAAATCTGTGAGAATAAAACAATAAGGATAAATTCAGATGCATGAACTCAATGTTTTTCTTATAGATGGCTGCAGGGGATTTAGAGTGGAAAAAAGACAGTGCGTGCAAGAGAAATGAAAAGTCTATCAGAAGAAGTGGGATGTAACGATTTTTAAGGAGACTTTCCCTTCAAACCATTAAATGATGATTTGAAATAGCCTTGAATAAAAGGGCCCTATAAAAGAGTTAATAGAAAATATCTATGTTGGACTTACTGCTACAATGAACGCATCCAGGAAATTCCAGAATGACGAGAAGAACTCTACAATCCCAAGTCCAGTGATCTTGAGAACGAACTCGATGGCAAAAATAATGGCAAACATGTAGTTCAGTGTGTCGAGTATGTAAGCAAGCTTTGGGTTGTCTTTGAGGTGAACGTCTTCAAAAACCTGTTGAGACATTGTTAATGATTTTCTYCCCAATTTTCAGAGAATTTGCACATGAAACTGGATGAAAAAATGTACATTGAAAGGAAGAAAAGAGCTATAAGTTTGATGCATGAAAAATAGATTTGATTGCTGTAATGTTTCCCAACTGCTAAACAGAAAATCACATTGGGTGGATGCACCACTGAAGCGCGCGAGAATGTGTTCGACAGCTAGCATTTTTAGATTTTGTTAACATAACCTTACCAGAACAAAGCTGCTTATAAAAACCAGCGATAAAATAAACCATTCAAAGAATCGATGTTCCACAATGAAACGCACTCGTGCTCGAAGTCGAAGCCACCAATAACATGTCAAGGGTAAGCAATCAAAGGGAGCCATCAGGAACTCCGGAAAGCATTCGGTTATGACAATTTCTCCTACAGGTCGATTCTTCCTGTTACCGCCAATTCCTGCGGCTAAGCTTGCTAACGTTGCGTTACTTCCTAGAAATAACAGCATGATATGTAACACAACTGCGTCATGTAGTCAACGTTTTCGTCACGTTAGCTTCCTATTTACCTGCATCTGTAGGGGACTCCAAGTCACGACGAGGCAATGGTTTGGTTGCTTTTACTACTGTGCTTTTGCCCGGTGTTTGAATTTGGTTAGTTGCCGACCCATTTGCTGTGGACTGAGGGACGTTGTTTTTAAGTGGGACGATCCAACGCCTTGTCGTGAAGAGTTTTCGCTTCAACCAGTCACGGAATGGCTCTTTGTCTTCACCATCTTCGTCTTCGTCTTCGTCTTCTTCCTCGTCCTCACTATCAAAGGCATTTAGAAGCAAAGCGAGGAAGAGATTTAAAACCTGCAAATTAAATTCAGAAAAAAATGAACATAAAGAAGAGAAAGGAAAAGCGTGACAATTTCTTGCGTTACATTTACGTCATAATTTATGCAATGCGCATGAAAGCGAGGTATTTGAAATATGGCGCTCAAGGCGTTTAGTGTGTTTGGGTCGCAACGAGAAAGAAGACTCTTCAAATGAATGACTTTCCAATGAGTTTATCGAAACATTGTAAACAATTGGSTTCATGTCTTGTTAAGGTATGATTTTGATGGATTCATTGGTTTAATATATTCATATTTAGACCAATTATCATTCATTGCCTTCGATGCACGCTCACTGCTCAATCGAACTCAGTTTTAAGACTAAAATATTTTAATGAATTTTATTCTTTCCTTTGAAATTTTCAAGAGTTATATTTATATATATTATCAGTTGAGCATTATAATGTCCAATTGAGGTTTTGAAATGTAAAGATATTGCTTTTATGCATGGTAAACAATGTAGCTATAGGTCCTTGTTTTACATATGCTCAAGTTACCAATTTACATCTAATGCTGTTGTTTTACCTTCTCGGAATACTTGTTTATAGTACAGCTAACGAAGACGATAAATTTGTCATTTATACCTGCACTGATATATTTAGAGCAAGTTACAACGAACAACTGATACAGAATTATAATAATTTGACCACATGTTTTGATCATTCGCAATATATTCCGCTAGTTTCTTAGATTTATTATATATTATACAGCGTTGAATAATAATAACAGCAGCGAAAAAATACAACTGAATWAAACAAACAACAACAGCAATTACAACAACAACAACATCACAAACAACAACAACAGCTGCAGCAACTACAACAAGAACAACGGCTCGGTATGTCATGAGAATGATTGATTGATTACTCACTATAAAATTGCCAATGACGAATGAAAGTATGAAAAACACAATCGCTCCAGGATTCGTTGCTTTCATGCAATCCCACARCGGCTCRATCCATTCTCCACATAAAATTCGAAAAACTACCATAAAGGAGTGCCAAAAGTCTTTGAAATTCCATCKTGGAATACCGTCAGGGAAAACCTCCTCCGTGTACGAGGAACCAAAAACTTTAACTCCCATAACGGCAAAGATGTAGATTATAAGGACGAGGATAAGAGTGATATTGCCGATGGGTCCCACACTGTTCGCTATTGTAGCAAGTAGTTTTCCCATAGTCTTCCAAGACTGAGCTAATTTCATTATACGAACCTGAGTGGAAAGAAAAATGCTGTATTATTGACTATATTATGTGATGTAAGACATGCAATGAGGACTTGAACAAATTTCAATGCAAAGCCGGGGTAATTAGCTCCAGAACGAGGCGCAGCCGAGTCTGCTATGTTATTATAGTATATGAGATGCATTTTGGGTAACTGTTACATGATTTTCGCCATCTCTTTTCGCGAAATAAGATTGAAAAAAAATTAAAATCTTTGAAATTATGCTTATTTAGCATTTTTCAAACGTATTCTGCTTTTTTTATGTAAAAGATGATGACGGCATACTATTTTGTCATATATGCATCATATGTAAGGTTTTTTACGTCATGGTATTGTGTCACATATGCTTCATATGTAAGGTTATGACGTCATAGTATAAATGACGACACTGACGACGATATTACAGATGACATCATAGTTACTTACTAAGCGAAATGTCCTAAATATGCTTGTCCCTGCTGATTCGCGGAACTTTGCTAATTCAAATGTAGTGTCTATTAAACTCATAACTACAATTAAACCATCGAAAAGATTCCATCTGCTCTGTAAATAATCAACTGTACCCAACGCCATCAACTTTACTACCATCTCTAGTAGAAATATCGCTGTGAAAACCTACAGTAAATAAAGAGAAAGCAGTTATTATAGGGAAGAGGATTTCTGCGGTTTTTGTTTGTTGATAACTGATACCATAAAATGAAAATAGTCATTTACTAAATCACTAGCCCACTAGCAATAGAAATCATCATTTCATAACGACATCTGCCAGGTGCTCATTTCTAGGAACTTACAAATAAGATCATACCAAATTATTTTTTATTAATTTTTTTATCTCCTCATATTCAACTGAGAATTATATCGCGCGCTGATTGCAAACTTTAGCACCTTTAGACAACAAATTCAATGATGATAATTATAATACTTACCAAATTCAATATATCTAATACGTATTTAAATCCATCATTGATACCATAATGATAAAGCGCCAGTACTACAGTATTAGCCAGTATAAACCCGTTTACAGCCAGTTCAAATAACGGGTGATCAACTGCGCTCAACAGAATCCTCTGAAATCGAGGCCAGCAGCGCATGTCTTGCGTGAATAAATCGTTCTTTAATTTTTCATCTAAGACATCTTTAAAAGTGTTCTTGCTTCCTATTTTCTTGAAAATCGATTCTTTTCGTTGTATATTAGATTTCTGTGCTTGTTTGATTTGATAAGCTATTTCTCGTCTGATTGCCTTGATACCTAGTATTTGAGCACCAACGGTGGTGTTAAGTGGACGCAGCGTTCGTAGTGTCTCTTCGTCTGCAGGATATGATACTGCGCTTTTTTTCTCGCGTCGTCTTTGTACGGACTGGAATTGTGATAATATGGTATATTATAAAACATTGCGTCATCTATACAATAAGTTATTGAGCAATAGTAACTATTAGTAATGTTCTTGGTTTGAGCGTTTTATGTCTTAAAAGACATAGCTGCCATGTTGTATAAGATGACAAGGCATTTCTCATGAGTTTCTCTTGTTCATTCATGCAACATGGTGGCGGTAACTTTGCACTATATTCTCTTACCCAGGCCCTTCTCAATGTCATTTTCTGAGAGTAATCTAGGCACGAGAATGACTTCTCAAAAGAAGGGAGCCAAAAGTATGACTCGAGTATCAAGTAATCATTTGTGATTTTGCAGATGATCTTCATCTTAATCAATAACCTCCTCAGAAGGCGGCTCTTTCCTTTTGAAAAGTAACGGGCTTCCTGCGTTAAATAGCGAGTCCGAAATTGTAAAAACCGGAAAGGGAGATACCTTCGGAGGAGGTTACTTAATCAAGGAGATACGCGGATTTTGACTATACTCAGGCACTGTACCTCGTGGACTACGGCTCTTATCTCTTGTTCGTACGATAACGCCACAATGGCAAGCACAAGATTGAGCAGATAAAACGAGCAGAAGAATATCGCACATATGAAATAGAACACATATCCAGCGCCTACAGCAGCAATCATCTGAAATACATCACATACCAATTAGTATTACTGTCAAACGTGTATATATCGTGCGCTCTGATTGGCTGAGGGAGCGTGTTTAGAGGGTAATTTAAAAAAAAATTCGTCGTGGACACAGCGAGGCTCAGTCTAAAACGGAGAGGATGAAATAGAAAATTTTTATCACAATTTGAATTGCTTTTGAAATAATATGAAAGTACAAATAGAAAATTTCGTCTCTTTATAAATACTTTTTTCTGGTTTGCATTAGTGAAACATTTATTATCAAAGTGTACTAATAACATAGATATTTACCATACCACTCTTACCTTATTATACAAGTTTTCCCAGTAGTCCATTGTAAGAAGCTGAAAGGACATTACTAATGCCCATCCAATGTTGTCAAAGTTAGTGTAACCATAGTTAGGGTTCGGTCCCGCATTCGGCAAACACGTGTAATTAGCGGGACATGGTCTGAAATTGAACGGAATGATTCTTGTTGATAGGAGTATTGTAACTTACGTAAAATAGCGCAGAAAAACGCGACTCATTGCTATGCAATGAAGTACAACACCACAATGCAATGATTAACTAGACGGTAATTCATCGAAATAACGCAACGCAGTGAAACGCAACTCTACGTAATATAACCGCAACAAAACGTAAGCGACCAATAACTGGTTAGGCAGACAGGTTAAGTAGACGGTAATTTATCGAAATAACGCAAAGCAGTGAAACGCAACTCTACGAAATATAACCGCAACAAAACGTAAGCGACCAATAACTGGTTAGG